CCTACGCGGCTCCACCCTCTTCCGGTAACGACCGGTATCCATAATAATGGAATCCTTTATAAAAAGACCTGTACTACCTAATGGACAGGAATACTTATCAAATAGAATTGTAGCTATCGAATAAAAATTAGATGAGCGAACGTCTTTATCGAATTGTTCATAACGAACATGCACCGAAAGTACCACTTGTTTCTCCTTAAATACAAAGAATGCAATTCTGATAAACGGAGACATCGACGTGTGACGCAAAAAAGGGAAAAATCGTAAGGAGCAATTCTAAAAGGTGGCTGTGAAAAGAATACGAAATGAGCTAAGAGAAGATCGTCGATTTCGGGCAACAATGTCAGTGTCACGAAAGGGAAAGAGAAAAAGGAGCAGATACCCGAGAGAAAGGAGGAGAGGATACGTGGTCCAGGTATTATTATATTCCAAGCATTGTCATTACGGCAACAGTTTCCTAGGAAGGCAATTTTCAAAATATTCTCAACGTGTACCATTATGCTCGCGCTAAGCCGTCGGTTATTAGAAAATAAGCTCTCTAGCAGTGAGCACACGCAGAATCGCACGACGAAATTATAACTGTTAACCGCCAATTTCTTCCGGCACCGGTCGAGAAACTAGCAGAAACGCTGCCAGCTACGAGTTTGTTTTTACTCGGGCCACTGAATTCTCGTCGACGATGATCGATATAATTTTATTCGACAACACCGCAGTCTCTTGCGTGAATTTATAATTAACCGTCGATACTTTTATGCATTACATGTAGTATTGACAGTATTTGCACGATCCTCTGAATCCGTATTTCGACTCGGGTCACAGATCGGACCATTGAGTTTGATCTAAGACCCGTACGTTGCACGCTGAAATTTTACTTTACGATAGAAATTGTATGCCACAGGACGATTTGAAGGAAAACTAGATTCCGTAGAAAAATGTTGGATCTGACTTAAGATCGAAGAACGCGATAGTAGAACTCTCGATCACTTTCTGACGGGCGGCGTAATCGAGTAGGGAGGCAGACGGTGGTTGCCTTTTTTCCGAGGGTATCGAGGGGGAGGGGGCGAGGAGGGATGAAAGGGATGGAGAGGAGGCGTCACGCATTTTAATACATCAAACTTTTCAATTTTGCCGCCGGGGCTCGTATCGCGAGGCGCGCGCGGGGCTCCGAAATGACGCTCCTGATATATCGCTTAGGTGGCCCGTTACGCGTTCATCAACGGGGAGATCGATACACACGCGTGCGTGCAGCCAATATCGCGAAGGCTGCTGGAAGGGACGCGAAAACACAATCAAGACCGTGGCCCGGCAAAAACACTAATTTAAACGGAACGAAGGAAATATGTAGTCGCATCCGTTCTGCATCAGGATGAATGGCGCTCGTCCCGGTTACTACGATCCACGATTTACCGTTCCGCGACTTTTTCCCGCCTCTCTTTTTGTCCATCTATCCACGCGTCTCTGCCGCGACAGAACTCGGCCGGATTCCCAACCCGACCGAATCAAACGGGCGAGACGAAACAGTTATCGCGACGCGTGGCAAGATTAAATTTTTTATCTGAACGTTTGTTCTATTCTAAAGACGATTTTCTTCGCTTTCGCTCCCACATCTACCTATCGATGGAATCAGGCCGCGTTTATATAGAATTTAGTCGGTTCTGGGACGCTCGCAAATATTGTTAATGACGAGTTTCGTATTCTTAAAAATCAGCCACCTACACACATTACAAATTTCGAAGAATTCGCGCGACGAAATTGCACTGTTCGATTCGATCTACAGAACAAAAGACAATTTATATTTAAATTCAGATAATCCGGCGGAAATCCAGGGAAACGGACTCTTCCGAATGTTTAATATCCTCGAATCGCGTCTCGTTTAAAAAGTATTTTCCATAAAAAAGTCGAGAGATACAAATATCGTATTGATCAATTATTTATAAACAGTCATTAGAATTGAAACTTATGACTGCTGGTTGTTGAAAGTGCGAGAGACAGATACTCTGCTGTTTCGCCACAGTCCCTGCGCCGATCGAATGCAGTAACCCCGAAACAAGGGTTTCAAGCATCCACTAGAGTTTTCTTAAAGCCTGCTGTTTCTTTTAAGTGGCCGACGTTCGATTTGTCCACTTGAACGCAGAATAAACGATACAAGTCGATGCTTTCCAGTCGGCGAGCGGGGGACCTAGGGCTCGTAATTTTGCAGCAGGATCGACACCGTGAACGGATTTCCACGGGTCAGCCGAAATGCCTGAACGTAGCTGCGTACGTATTAGGTTTACCCGCATCAATTAGGCATTTTAATCGCGGAGAGGCTTCGCGGCGGGGTATCCAACGGAATAGTTGCGATATACTAGGCGTATTACGATACGAGCAGGCATGCCCGGAGAATTGGAACGTGGTTGCGTTAACATAATGGAATTCCGCGGAATGTTATACCCATTATACATAGCCGATTGCGTCACCGCGCCGATATATACCCACCATAGAAAAATAATACGGCTCGCGACAACGACTAGCTTCAGTTTTCCACTCTGCTCGGCAAACGATCGATCTCCGATATACACATTTTTAAGACTAAATATTCTAGATCAGACTATCTCAATTCTAACGTTACAGAATTTGGTAATCATTATCTGATAGATAATAATCGTGTTGATAATCGAAATTTAATACGAAACGCACGAGTCTTTATCGGTTGTTGCCTTTGTAATCAATTTAATATGGCAATACCTATTCTCAATGTTGGCGCGATTATTCTTTTAATCAGTCCCTCAAGTCTATACGGTTTATTTTATCAGATTTTAATGTTTATCAATAAATTCATAAAGCTTTGGGTAAAATATGTACGTAGATACTCAGAGCGTACGATACTTTAATCAATAAATGTGTCTGTTTTAAAAAAACCAAACGTGTTTTTCTCGATCATTATAACAAGACCGACGAGTAATTCTCATCGATTTACTATGCATGTTTTAATGAAACTTCTGAAAGATCACCTTCTAGGTATATTTCCTAACACGTCTGAATAAATTGTTGCTGCTATTCGAATGAAGCGAAGAAGGCGGCTCGTTTTTGCACGGAATCGTTGCAGAAGTTTGCACCGCGGGAGAGAAGGGTTCTGGAAGGGTTGCGAAACGAAGCGAGGACGCGAGGACTCGGTTGGTAGCTGTTCGTTTAATAACTTGCGCCGGTGGCGGACGATAAATAATGCAGGAGACACCGCCGTCCCGATGTAATTAACGAGAACAGTCGATACCCGGTGTGTGTCACGTATGCGCGAACGAGCGCGTAGTCAATATTTGTCATTCGTTTTAACAAAAAGAACGTTACAAAACGGTCGGATGCTCCGCGTCCAAATATTGACTATGCTCATTGACGTTCATTGATACTCTCAATTAGTGCGCACCGCGCCGTCGAAGCCGATCGCCGGGTAATTGGACCTCGACAGGCAAAGGCTCCGTCAGGCGACGTCGCGCCTCCTCTGCCGGCATAAAAACATTCGCGGGCAACCGCGTTTCCGTATAATTGGCCGACCCTAAACTACGATTTCTCGCCCTCCCGAAACGCCAATTATAAACGCGCGGACTTTTCCTACGCGATCTTTGTCTCTGACGTCGTGTGCGCGCGCTCCGTTTTCCAGTGCCTCGCGACGACGTTCCGACTGTCGCGGAGAAACTTTCTCAAACGCGCGGGGGAATCTCGTTAACGTTGCGAAACCTAATTACCAACTTTCAAAAACCGTTTCGACGTTTCATCGATTTTTTTCTACCGCGCGACCCTCTTTCGTCCGCGTTTCGTCGAACACAGACGCGAATACATGTGTCTTACGAGGAGCGGTTACTGCGTATCAACAACCTCTGTCAATGTTCTAAATTATGCTCTAAACGAAAGATCATATACTAAATCGTGTACACAAGCAGTTTGAATAAAATTTATAAAACGGTCATCTAACAATTGCAATAATAATTAAATAAGTACTCTCTTTTCTTTCTCTCAATTCTGCAGATTTTTATATCGGAATAATTAATCGATTACGTACATGGACGTTTGTCAATCATTTAAACTGAATATAAGAAACATCTAATTTTATATCAGGTGGTAAAACTTACGAACAGAGGTGGAAATGCGGATAAAACATATTCGATTCTCTCATTGTCGACAAGTGGTTTCTGCGGGGGTGTTTGCTCTACGTCATTCCCGTGGACAAACGTTGTTCCGTCGATTTTGCTGGGTGAGTAACGCGGGTACGAGCGATTAACCGAAATAATTAGGAGACGCGGGACGAGCTTTTTCCCCAAGCTTCTCTTAGAACTGATATACGAGAATCGGAGGATCAACAAAAAGGACGCATGTATGGATGTTGTAAACACGGTAAAAAAAAGTATATCTCGACATACACACACCCCCCAAACTGTTTTCATACTCTAAAATATTTCGAAAAAGGTGCCCACGTTTTTTTTTTACTCTCGCGATATCGAATGTTATTTCCTCACACCTTACCCCGCCCAACAGCGAACGATACATAATCGAACACTGTGAGACGTCCTGTTCTCTTAATTTTTGTATCAAATTATATCTACATTTTTTTACATTACGTACGTTATTATGCTCATTAACAAATGGTCATGTAACGTATTGGAGTTATAATGTGCTTAAACATGTGGCCAAGATATTCGAAACGCCATCTTAATATGTAACTAATGATATTCAACCATTCTGTTCATATATCTTCTTATGTATAGTTTTTAGTCGTATATGGAATTTAAGGAGTCGACAACTGGAGTTCATAATGACGAATTCGTTATTACGCACTTAACAAAGTGAACTGGTACTGCGAAGTTATTATTAAACTGACAAATTTTGTTTTTTTTTTTTTACAATTCAAAGAACCGGCAACTGCCAAAAATACGAATTATTTTTGCGCAACAAAATTCGTTAAATCGTATCTACCGACTATACGCGTAGAAGATATGAGAACAGAGGAAAAATGAAAGTGGACTCACCCTTTCCTCCTCGCGAATCATCTCGGCGATGCCGGGCTTGATCTCCAGATCATCTCCAGGGTTCTGCTGTCCTCCCTGTTGTTGATGATGCTGTTGCTGCTGCTGTTGCTGCTGCTGTTGCTGCTGCTGCTGTTGTTGTTGCTGCTGTTGCTGCTGCTGCTGCACGGTGAGCTGCTGGCCGTGCGTGGTCAGGTGGTTGACGGAGGCGTGCGGACCGGAAGTCACGTGGCCGGGCACGTGGTGAGCGGAGAGCGAGTGCGAGGTCTGCTGGCCCTGCGGGGGCGGCGGCGGGGGTGGCGGCAAGGGCAGCGAAACCGGAAGTTCCTGGAGGTTGATCTGCGGCGTGACCGAGACCGTCGGCGTCCCGGGTGACCCTAGGGACCTGGGGGTCGAGCTGCTCAACGGCAGCATGTTGTGGATGTCTGGTACGATCACGTTAGCCCCGGCTTGGCTAGAGTCCTGGTCGTCGGGGAGGATTCCGGAAGCGACTCTGTCCGGGCTGCCGGCCGGCGGCGATCTCTCGCCAGATATTCGACGCCGTTTCTTCCTGTGCAACGCGGCGTTGGCCGCCTCCTCGAGACTCGCTCTCGACGTCAACTCCTGCTCGCTGTTAACATCAGCCAAGCCGCGGATCTTGAGGCTCTCCGCGACTTTCAGCAACGGTCCGATCTGTTCCTGGGACACGTTGATCTCACCCTTGTACATGAACTCGACCGCGGCTTTCAGCTCGGGCCACTTGATGTCCTTCATGATAACGATCGGGTGCTGGCAGGGGTTGTCGAAGAAGAGCGCCTGGAAATACGGACTGCACGCGGACAGCACCATTTTGTGCGCTTTCACGCTGTGCCCGTCGCAGGCCAGGGTCACGTCGACGAAGCTCTCGCTCTGCAGCAGCTGATCGAACACGTTGGTCAGGTTTGTTTGGTAGTTGTTCCATCGGAGGCAGAACTGCTGGGGGGACCCAGCGCCGCTCTGTTGCGTCATATTTCGGGGATCCGAGTTTCCTCTTCTGTCCTCCTCAGCCCCTTCCTCCGGCACCTCTTCGATCCTGTCCTTCTCCACTTTTTCCTCTCTGTGTTCCAGCGCGGCGAAAAACGTCACCTCCTCCGCCACCGCCACCTCCTTCGCTCGAGCGTCCACCCTTCGAGATTACCCTTTCGCTAGGCCGATATCAACAACGGCCAGACCGCATCTGGAACACACGCACACACCACAGTCGCGCGCGCGAATCTAGGGAAAAATGGCACGCGCCTCGTCCTCGTGGGAACGCGCGCCGGTCCGTCAAACGTGCGCGGCCTCGATTCGACCTCTCCCGAGCATCCTTTTTCTATCGACAGTGTCCGTGGCTCTCACCCGACGCGTCGCGCGCGTTCGAACCGCATCGTTCGCCGAATCGACCGAGGATCTATACGCGCGTGGCGTCGCGACGCCTTCCACCCGGGTGGCCCGCGCCAGCGCGCGCGCGCGTGCTTTCGAAAAACGGGGTGAGAGCGGGAGAATTCCCGCGCGCGCCACCAAAACGCCTTCGCGGTACCTCCGAAACGTTCGCGCGGTCTACCCAGTTAGTGTCACACTTGAACAATGTTCACGACCGATTCGACTGTCCGAGCACCCACAGAGAACACAGGATCGGTACCACCGGTCGGTCGTAGCACTGACGAGAAAAACGTGGGCGCGATTACTATCGTAGGCTCGTGACGACGCGTGCGTGTCGAGGCGACGACGGGTGAGCGAACGAACGACGCACGATCTGCACCCCGTGGCGAGCGCGTCGCAACTGAGAGGCTCGCTCGAGCGGCAGTAGAGAGGTCCGCGAGTCGGGCCGATACCGTGTGGTTCTCCGGCGGCGGCGGCGGCAGCGCCGAGTCGCGGCGCGGGGGCGAGGGACGCTGGGCGACGCGGCGCGCTGCGTGGGAGCGAGAGCGAGAGGGACGGACGACGCGGGCCAAGGTGCCCGCTGCTCGGCGGCGGCGGCGCGACAGAGACGCACGAAAGAGACGAAGAACCTCGTGGGGTGCGAGCGAGTACGAAGAACCGGGTTGTTGAAGAGAAGAGAAGAGTAGAGAAACGGTTGTTGCGGGTGGAGGAAGCTACGTAGCCTCGGCTGTCCTCGCGTTCCCCTCGCACGACCTCCACATCGGCCAATCGGGAGGCTCACCTTCCGATCGGACGCGCCGACAGGCGCCGCCCCCGGAGACCGCCTCATACCGCCTCTGCTTCTTTCGCCGCGCGTCCCGCGCTAGGCCACCCTCGGCTTCTCCTCTGCCCCCAGGAAGAAGAGAAACTCTCCTGCGGCAGATCGGAGAGGAGAGGCCACCGCCACCGATCGGCCTCCCGAATCTCCGATCCACCGATCACGACGAGAGGAGGTCACGCCGCGCCGCCGATGCCGACGCTGCCGGTGGTATAGGTGGTGGTGGTCGACGCCGCTACCACCGACGCCGACGTCGCAACCGCCGCCGCCGAGCGGTACTCTCCTCCCGCGTCGAACCGAGTTCCCGACGTTGTCAACGTGCGTTGGTACCGATACCGACTTCCCATGGCTAAACGTTCTCAGCTTCCATACAGAGTTCTACCAACGATACCATTTCTTGACCCTGTCACCATCGACTAAGAGCCGATCGTCGTTTCTTATACGTCTCGCCTAGACGCGCGATAAAGATCTACTGCAATAATTGGAGTCATCTTGTATTCATAAACAATCGCGACCGTCGATTAATAGACCGGTACCGAGGAGAAAAACGAAACCGACGCGACGAACGTTCAGTTTATTACGTCCGACCACGCGATTAATCTTAAGAACCATTCGAGCCGACCATTGTTGATCGAATAAATAAATCGTAGACGAAGGGTTAATTTCTGGCGGACCGATGGAGTTCTCGCGGCGAAGGTGAGTTCAACGAGGAAACGGCGGCAACTTTCGCGAAACCGATCCGCGGTGATACGATTGGCGAGATGTTCATTGCTCGTCGAAAGACTCGCTCGATGAAAGAACGAGGGAACCTTGCGCTTCGTAACGAACTAATTGGATTGCACGCGGGAGAGAAACGATTATTTAACGACAACGGCGAACGCTGCCGTTTCCTCGAGACAAGCAAGAATATTAACGGTCGTATTTAGGGAGTCGTGCTTCTCGATAACGGAGTTACGTTGCCTCGTGGAAAGGAGCGATGGTCGTCCTAATTAAATTAAGGGCACAAAGAGACGGGCTCGTGTCTGTCCCTCCAACTATACCAGACACTCCTAAATAGCTATTAACGCGAATTTTGGAACTCTCCCGCCGCTCCCTCCGTAGAGAATCTCCGTCTTCGTTCTCCAGGGACCGAGCGTTTTCTCTAGCGTTAACGGCGAGTCTATATAGATTGCGCGACGATATTGGACGCGTAAAAGCGCGAATCGAGCGTGGCAATGGTAAACGACGGCGCTGATGGTCGTTGAACTTGAATAAAGACCCGAGCAAGGAATATTGACCGGGTTTTTATGGTTACAACAGATTGCGTCGACGTCGAACGTTATTTCATCGCGAAGTCGTGCCTAATGCAACAATCGAACCAACTGTTCACCTTTTCAACTACAAGTGAATTTATACGTTCGAAAATATACTATTAGCGAAAAGACTATCTTCTCGTTTACCCTGATTCTATTACAATCATTTTTTCAATGTTTCCTCTGCAAGATTTCTGGCAAGAAATGCCAACGCCGATGCTTTACGGTTTTTATTTCGCAGCGGGTCGACCATTTTTCTCGTCTCGTATTTTTTCATAACTGGTATTGCAGCCGCGAAAGTACTGTCGTCCCCCCGTTGGTCCCGCGAAATCACGGCGGAACCGTTTCCAAGTTCGCGAACGATACAGCGAAGTCGATTTCCTGCATTACTACGCGAACTAAAGAAATCTCACAATATTCTGCACCATACTTCAAACGGAAACCCGTATAAAAAGTCTTATAATAGTGTGTCATAAACAGCTTCGATTGAAAATTTCATTAATTTCATGGATTCCTTGTATTGAAATTCGTCGTAAGAAAAGTCGAAGAAAAATGACGTGATTAGATCGAAAAATTTCCTGTCTGCAAATAAGAACTTGAATCAGAATCCATAATCATGTATACAGTTAATCATGAATCATTGAAATTCGAGGATGCTGCCGGTGGTAAGAAAGTCGGTCGCGTTTTCTTGGTTCTCGGCGTTGATCTCGCCGTGGGTCGAGTCGAAATTTTTCCATTTCGCCGGAGAACGCGGCGCGTTATTATACTGTTTGCAGTTAAACAATATTACGTAGTAAAATTTATGGCCCGCGCACCCTTACAATGCGTTCCCTCGCCGCTGAAAGTATCAACGATACGAGAAATACGAGCGCCTATAGCCACCCCTGCGATGATCCACGGCTTAGCCAACCCCCACCAATTCCTCCTTTTTTTTTTTTTTTAAATCTCTGTTCACCCTTTCGCACCTATCTTCGCACTCTTAATTGCACGCCGTTTGCCGCTTCCGAATTTTAGCTAAACTGTATTCGTTTCGTCGTTTGTTCGATGATTTTATCGAAACAACCTGTGCACCGTGAATACATCCTTGCATTTGGACCTGTGTCACTCGTTTCAACGAGATCAATGACCAATAGTATGTCTTAGTGACTCAGTGTACGTTTGTACGAATATGTACGCGGTGACTCGAAATTAGCCGTTTGGATCGTTACCTGGCCGTTCCTCCCAGAATTACAGGAACGGCGGCGCAGCCTTGTAGGTATTGTACAAGAACAATGAGCAAAGAGAAATATTGATGATGCTGCTGCCGTGTGACTAAGCGCGTGAACGCGTGTGCGTGTGCGTATACATCGGGCTAGACAAGTGCGGAAGAAAGAGGCACACGGACCGCGAGAAGGTACGCGACGGAGTGGAATACGAGGGGCATAACGAAGAGAGAGAGAGAGAGAAAGAGAGTGAGAGATTGAGAGAAAGAGAGAGAGAAAGAGACGGAGAAAGGGTACGGGGACGCGTAAGAGGAAAACGATAGAAGGAGAGAGAATTATGTGCTTAATATTTCAGCATCGCGAAATTCTGCCCCTGAATCATTAATCGCCTACCCCTGCGGTGCCTAGTCGAGTCTCGCCTCCACCCGCCTCTCTCGCTCCAGTTCTTTGCTTTCGCCATGGTTCCCTTACGCCTACGCCTTCCACCCAGTCTCACCCCTCTCTTGAATATTTCGACTCGAAACCCTACGAATAGACTCGACCGAACTGTAATTAACGTCGCGATTAACTATCCATCCGAAGATTCCACGATTAACCATGCAGATATTCTTATCCGCGAGAGAAGCTGTCAAACAAACCTAACTGGAATCTCGATGAACCGTGATTTTACTCTTATCCAACGATGATCGTCAAAGACGGGGAGAACGAAAAAGCTGCTGATAAAAAGTTGCTGTCTTTTCGGTTTAGGAAAATTGTGCGATTCCGAGTGGAAAAAGCATAATAAAAGCTGGAGCAGCGATCGTAAAGGAGAATAGTAGTCGAGCCTAAAGGGGAGAGAGAACGTTCTGGCAGCAGTTATTAGTCGTAGTCGCGGCGGCGGCAGCAGTAGCAGTAGTAGCAGCAGCAGCCCAGCCAGGCAGGGCGTGCAGGTTGCGGGCGAGGTTAACGTTGCAGAAAGGGGTGGCATAAAAGGGGTGTGGGTGGCTGGGTGGGCGGCCGGGTGGCTGGCTTGTACCAAACAATGATATCGGGTATTTGATTTGTAACCGACGACAATACCGACTTGCGACCCCGCATTTCATCCCTCCGTCTCACTTCTCGTTCCCTTCTGCGCCATTCTCTCTACATCTGCATCTACCGATACACGTTACGTATATACGTGCTGCTACGCGCGCGTCTACCTTCGTTAACGTGCACGCGCGTGTAACGTAAACGTCAAGGCTATCGATGCACTTTTAACCGATATTCGATGCAAAATCTTGTTAAACCATTAACCGACTAATATATATCTTATGTCCTCGAGGTTCCCTCCGAGGTGAACACAAATTGCCGGTGTTCTCCATTTTCGAAGTTCTCAACCTTAACTGGTTAATTTTCTTCTTCTTTATTTCCATATTTCTTACATCATCGTTTATACACTACCTTTCATAAAGTAATTTAAAAGAAAAAACCGCGACTTTAAACGCGTATCACCTAAATTGGTCGATCTCTTCTTGTTTATTTCACTCGGACAATAAGAACTGAATTCTGGATGATAATCCAGGGTAAGAAAAAAACGGTTGAAGAGAAAAGAGGCACTCGTAAAAACGAAAGAGGTGGATGAAAAGATAAGGGAAGAGGCAGAAGGGAACGGAAGTCGGTTGCCATTTCACGAGCGTACGTACATATTTGGCGGAAGACGGCTCCGGCAGCCAGGTGCAACGGACCTATTGACGTGTTAATTGCGCTTGAATAATTGAAACGGGCCACCACTCGACACCGGTGTTCTGTCCTTTTAAAATGTCTCCCGATCTCGTTAAATCCCGCGCTCGCCCGAAACGAGCACCTCGAATCGAACGCTGCTCACCGACCAAATAAAATTAACACCCCTCTGTTTCTTACTCGAAACATCGACCGAGATCAAATTAACAAAACCACACTCCTTCCCGAATGTCAGAGCATATATAATAAGACGAGACGCTGTGAAAACAGGCTAACGTATTAAAATTTATGATACTTACTGAATAAACGAAAAAGAGTTTACCACATTTTTATAAATGCATAAAATCTGCGGTCGCGATTGTATAACAAGTGTCTGACGATTACTGATTTGGAATATATCTCAGATTCGAGAATACAGTAAAAGATGTAA